TGCGTGCTCCATGCGCACGTTTCCCGTTCGCCTCCTTCCACTCCAGCACGGGATCTCTACGCACTCGCGCAGCAGAGCGCTCTCAGACGGGAGCATCCGTCTCCTCGTCTAGCGACTCGACGTCGCCTCTAATCAGTGTCCGGAATGCTGCCACCTCGCATGGGCAACTGGACGTGCTTCTGCCACTTCCGGGGGTCATGGGCCTCACGCGGTTGGGGCTGGACGACGCGAACGCGAGTGTCCAGGATCTAATTGAGGCAGTGCGACATGCTGATGCCTCATTGAAGGCCGTGGAGATAGCTACAACGGACGGCACTAAGCTCGCTCGTACTGTGCGTCTGGGCGAGCTCACGTCCATGCCTTTTTGTCTGAGACTCAACCACGTGAACGTGTTGGTGGAGAGCGACGTCGCTGCAATGGACGATCGCAGGGCAAGGGAGGAGAGCGTGGCCTTTGCCACAGTCAAGGCCGAGATCGAGAGGGACCCTCGACTCATTGTGAGTAGAAGTACTCAATTAGGCATCTTCATATCGGAATGATGACTTATGTTTTGTGAGTTTAGTTGCCGCTGCATGAATTCTACAGAATGTGTCACAATGCTGGAGCGGAGGAGAAGGTGGCGACGAAATGGCTACGAGAATTGCAGCGTCGGAACCTCGTGGTGCACTTCGATCGGTCCCGGAATCCTCAATTAGAGAACGCGGTGATTCTGCGACCATACGTGAGTTTTTTTTTTTTGTAGTTTATTTTATCGGTTAAATGAGGTACTGATAGTAAATCGAGTGCAGAGTTTGGAGAGTGTCTTGACACTACAGAACGCTCTGGACTCGGAGCTGTACAACATCAAGCACGACCGCAAAGTGAAAGAGCGACAACTTGCTGAGCTGAATAGTAAGCTCAAGAAGCTGCAACAGGTGGAGAACGAGGTGCATCTGGCTGCTCGTCGCTTGCCGAATGCTCAGAAATGGGTGGGGCTTACGAGTCTCACAGGCTTCTATGGTGCACTCATGTACTGCGTCTGGGACGTATACTCGTGGGACGTCATGGAGCCTATTACGTACTTCATCGGCTTCACTGCTGTGCTGGGCAACTCCTTCTACTCCACCATCACTAAGAAGGTGTGTATAGTAGTAACAGTTGAGACTATTTTATTGGGTTAACCTATTCGACGTTGCCTCTGCAGGATCCGACATACAGCAACATGTGGCAGAAGCGGTATGCGGATCGCGTGGAGATACTGAGTAAGCAGCGCAAACTCGACCCGACCGAGCTCAAGAAGCTCAAAGCTTGCATCACTGACCTCGAGAACGACATCACGTTGCTCTCGCAGTGGGAAAAAGTGGATGTGGCCAACCCCAATTTGCACTGATGACTCGCTTCCTCGAAATGCAGTCTTAGTGTCATTAAACGGCAGCTTCAACTCCTCGGATCCAGCGAACGAAGCTGCAATCTGGAGTTACAGTGCTGTCTAAATTGTCCACCTTTTTTGTGGTCATGTTTCCATTAAAATAGTCCTTCTTAAAAATCTGATTAACAATTTCTACCAATAGTCGTCGCTATCCATGAATATCTACCAATCATATGGCTTTTCCCAACTGGGAACACACTTACGGAACGGAATCCGAGCGCAAAGATCCAAGCGACCATGGCGGCGAACCAGAGCATCAAGGAGCTGATGGCGGCCGAGACCAAGGCCTCCAAGGTCATCAGCGAGGCGCGTCAAGGTGCGCTCCATCCCGACATCCAGCTGAGTGGCACGTTGTAACTCGTTGCCTTGTGTTTTAGAACGTGGCGAGCGACTCAAGCAGGCCAAGCTGGAGGCGGAGGCGGAGATCACGGCCTACCGCAAGCAAATGGAGCGATCATTCCAGATGAATGGCAACACTGATGTAAGGGAAACATTAGCCAATAGCTCAGATTTTATACTGAGGGTATTTCTTGTTACTGTAGCTGATGGGAGATGATCCGAGCATTCTGGAGGAGGAAACCCAACGCGAGATCAAGAAGATGCAGTACGTTTTTTTTTATTCTGGTTTCACGTATCTGTAGAGTATTGTTGACTTTTTATATTTCTTGTTGCAGGGCGGAGTTCCAACAGAACAAGCAGTCGGTCATCACCATGATGGGACAGCACGCTGTTCGCGTGCAGCTTCGTGTGCCGGAGGCGCGTAAGGTTTAATTGGGAGACGGAACTGCAGATATCGAGGTCCGAGACAAAGACCGCTGCGTAGTGAGCGTCTTCCTCCTTGAATCACAAGATACATTTTTATCGTGGTGTTCCGTGTTTGGATAATTATTGAAACACTTCTGGGCACCTTGAAAATATTGTACCGGTAGTATAAAACATGAGTTACTAAAGTTAGTTAGTTCATAGCGAAAAATACGTTCATTTGCGACTCTCACGTATGCTCTAGTTGGTGCAATGGACTCGGAAGTCTTTGTTTTGCTTTGCCAAGGCATTCGTTGACAGATAATACAATGTTGGTAATAAGATCCTTCATCTCTTTCTGTATATTAATGCAGACGTTACAATATCGTACCTAACTGTAGATAGATAAGTGCCGGTCAACTACTCCTAGCTCGATCAACTGCTGTAGCCACTAGCCTGGTTGTCCGTTGTATTCTGTCGTTTACTCTTCGCAAGCATTCTCCGCTTCGGATGCTTAGCCAGAGGATGTTCATGGTTGCGTGAAAGCACTTCAGCTCGGTGTTTGTTGAGGTTGCAGATCGCAGCTCGACTCACATGGTATTCCTTTGCCAATGCAGACTGCTTTTCACCCTGAGCGATGCGCATCAGGATTCGTCGTCGATCGATCTCACGCAGATACCGAGAGGCCTTGGGACGCGATTCGCTACGTCCACGGACGAGTTCAGGCGCTCGCTTTACCGGTGACGCCTTACTCTCGGGAACTTGCGTAACTTCCATTTTGTTGCTGTTCCCGAGACCTGTAGGCAGTGGCGTCCACTCTGACTGCGGGGAAATAGCAGCTCTCGATCTTTGAGCTTGGCGCGGGGGTGTCCAGTATTCGAACGTATTATTTCTCGCTGTTGATTGACGCTGTTCCAATGGTTCACGTACAGATGAGATGAGGCCTCGGGCCTGCATATCATTGTGACGTCGGAGTAAGGAAGCCACGCCCGGGAGTCTGTCAACATGACCTTGACTCGGAATTCGGCTATTCAAACGGTGCTCGTAGCGGACAAAAGGCTGGCGGGGGTGCAGGTACATGTGATATTCGCTTCGTACAAGAGGCGAGTCGGGGTGGCCTTGAAGCTGTGAGGGACAGGATCTGGGA